TTAAAGTATATATTATTCCAAATTATTCTGAAGTTTTAATATCACAAAAAAATAAAATATATAATATGTGGAAAGAATATTTCGATGAACGCTCTAGAGAAAAAGGAATCTGGTACAGAACTTTGCAATGTCAGCCGCCTCGTGCTCCCTGGTTTGATTTGATTTTTAGTAATAGAACTTTAATTAAAATAGCACATAGATTGCGTTCCGGACATATGCCATTAAATAATTTTTTATTTCTTATGAAAAAATCACCCTCACCAAACTGTGATGTATGTGGAGTATATGAAAATGTTTATCATTTATTAATGGAATGTGTCCGGTACGATAAACAAAGGAAAAACCTAATTAAATCACTGAATCTAAATATTTTCGATGTAGGTAATTTTAATACCATTTTGTCCTTTCCTACTTCTGAGGAGGCCAAAATGGTATATAATTTTGTTAAGATCCGGTTTATGTAACTATGTAGATTAAGGTATGATAGGGCTGGCATATTTTTGAAATAAAAGCCCTTATAATAAATAGAAAAAAAAAAAAACCTGGAGTAACACTTAAATAATAAATCACATTAAAAAGACAACCTAAACAAACAAATCAATGAATGCTTCATTTTTATAATTATTAAATTAACTTCTTAATTGTTATATATGATACAATCATCATCAAACTTTATAAAAGCAAATAATACCTACCTTCTCCCTGCCCATTTCCCAGTCACTTGGTGTTGGCGCAGTACATCTTCTGTACTGCTGAAAGGATTTGGCAAAAGTTTTACGACCGGCCGCCTGCCTGACGTCAACCCTTCTTGGGAATTATACCTACCTATATATATATATATATATATATATATATACAAGAATAGCTCGTTTAAATATATAAGGTTACTTTCCTAAGTAGAAATTAAATAATATAAATTTAATGAACAAGCCTTTAAAAATTATAAAAATATGACAAGATGAACTTTCATTGTTTTATTTAATCATCTATTACTTATTATAAATCAATATATGATATCTGTGTTTATGTAAAAATATGTTTATAATATAGATCCTAGATGAGGTAAATACAGGTGTAAAATAAAACAAAACCGTGTGTTTATAATTATTTTTTTATTAATTTCACAAAATTATTTATTAAAAGCCACAATGTTAAGGCTTTTAAGCTGTCAAAGCGATGACGGTTTAAATTGAACTCCATAGAAATCAATCCATCCGTGAGCTAGAAACTGGAACTTTAAAGCTATTTATAACTACATTATAAATGTTTATATTTTATAGAAAATATCGAACGAACGTCCGGTAACGGCGCACGGCAGTCAAGCGGCAGGCGCGCGACACGCATGCGACTGTCGCGCGACAGTCGTGCGACGGTCGCGCGACAGTCGGACGGCCCGCGACTATGTATAAACACCATCTCGTGTAAACAATGACATTAAACTTACTATTAACTTGTGAATATAATTATATTTACGTATAAGAACAGCTCCGTGTATTTCATACGATACAAGCGACATCGACACTAGGTACTGAGTGTAAGCTAATTTGTGATATCTAAAAACGCCCGGGCATTGACCCCGCGCCGGACTTAGTACTAGTGAATCTAATCGAAAGCAGGCGCTGGCGAGGGGTCATTGCCCTCTACATACATCCATTATTACTATTTAAAAGTGTTACAGACACAAAACTTTATTTCCAGTGCTATATCGCGGTTGAGGGTCCCTCCCTATGTACATAAACGGTTAACGCAATATTTAACTCTTGGTTTAACTTCCCAAAGTTAAAACTTTCTACATCGCCATTTAAATACAAATATATATATATAGTTTGAAAGCTCAACGATTTCAGACACCCTTGTAATGAGGCTATAATTACATTTGGCCAAACGGCAAATAAATAATCTGTAGCTACATTTAAATACAATCCAACTAATTTAAAAGCTATGTTAGATTATATATCGAATATAATTCATTGCGATGTTATACCAAAAATATTTTATCTCTCGCAATTCAATACGATTTATACAAGCTTAAGCAAAAATAAACTCTTTACCTATACAAGTAGCCTATTCACTATCCTATCACCGACGAAATACCAATCTCAGAAATCTGTAAGAGCGGACTCCTTCGCTTATTCCATTATTACTTCTCAAATGTCAGAGAACTTTGATGTCGTCAAAGATCGTATCTAAGACAATTTAGTAGCAAAGTCTGTAACCGCTCTTAGTATCATAATTTCTTCATACCGTGCTCGAAATATTCTACTAGAAGCAGAAAACTATTATTGAAGGTACTGTAGAAGTAATTGTGATGAACAGTTTTCTATTTCTAATTGAAAACCAAACCCCAATCCATTAGCTATACTAATATTATCGATTGTTACATCTGTATATACAACGTACACTAACTCACAAACTTATTTACCAAAGGAATATTGCCACCAAATTAACAAATCGTTTAAAAACTGTAATTTATTAGTAAACAAATAATAAAAATATGATTTTGGAATTCATTCAAGAGTCATAATAGGAAATAGTCGATAATATGTCATGAAGTCATATGCTAGACTATAATCATAGACATTGAGTGCTCTGTTTCTTTGTCAGCCGTCAGCTGAAAATGGCGGCAAAGTGGCAAAGACAAAACCAATGTGCGGCCAGAAGTCTTCTGTATTAATTGAAATACGATTAATGAAGATAGATTTATAACAGTTTTACATTCCATTACAATATTATAATTTTAAATATATTTTTTATATTTTTTTTTACATTTATAAATTCAAATTAGAATAGAGGTTATTGGCCGCACGTTCGCTTTCTCTCTTTCTAGAGAGTGAGCAATTTCCTGTCAGTATTACTCAGTCCATACTATAATATAATCATATGATTATAACCAATAATATAAAATCAGCTTAAAATTTACAAAATAATAACACACTACGACTAGGATTTAAGGTAACTATTATGAGACCATCGACTTATGTCTAACACCGACGCTTACGCTTTATACAGACGCTAAAAATAAAGTGAAAAGACGTGCAAAACTGTGAGGAGCGTGAAATGCGATTATTCATAGATATGTAAATGTAAATGTATTACGTGGATGCAACGAAACACTCGTTTAATATCGCTTATATATTATATATTATGTATGTATTTATAATTATACTAGTGAAGTCATTTTATGATTGGATTTTGTAAGAATTTTACATTCATTCAAAACAAAAAGAAAATAAATATTTGTGCTACAAAGACGTCTTCCGAACGGCGTTTTGATTCTCAAAAATAAAGACGTGCAACGAATTGTATAAAACTTGAAAATGAACGTCAACTGAACCTAAGCAACAAACAAGTAAAAAATCATTTAAGCACATTACAAATTATTTATTATTAGTACTCGAATAATTCGAGAAATTGATTATAATGAAACTCGATTCAAACGCTCGATAGTTCCGAGTTATTTGTTAGTTTAGCATACACTTATTATTAACCAATACAATAAACCTGATATTATTTTACTGTTTGCGCTAAATAGATATGACATTTCAACACATACATACAGGTACAGACCGTAGATAACTAATTAAATCCAAACCATTCCGACTGACAAATCTGTACACCCTAATCGTTATTTTATAATATAATATTGATATATTAACATCGATACATTTTCAAATAATAACGATACTCATCGAAAGCGTGCGCGAGTAACGAGGCGGCGAAGGCCTTACGGTAACGATGCGGTCACGTCACGGTCACGTCATGGTACGGTCACAGTCACGGTCACGTCACGGCGACGGCTCGGTGCGGCGTGCGGTGCTCCTCGATGTGGACCGCTGGGAGTCAGCTGGAAATATAAATTATGTTTTAAATTATAACTATATTATTTACGTTTTTAAAGAAATATGGTAGATTGTGCACAATAAAGTGTTATTATTATTGAATAATTTAATGAAATTCAATCTTATCACTTTAACGACACTGATTTAATGAATTGTACTGTAGAAAATTTCAAAAGGAAAATTAGGAATGTACTTCTCCTAAAAGATTTATAATTTAACTCCATATCTTATATTAATGCATGTTCTGCTAACATAATTCTAGTGTTATTGTTTTGTCAAATCTCTACTCTTGTACTGTATGAATTGTTTGTTTGTGGAAACTTTATTGGTGTATGTACTATTTTTATTGTTATATGTTGTTTGTGTTGTAAACACTGTATGTTTCCCTAATAATAAATAAAATAAAAATAAAATAAAATTATTTTGTAAGCTTTGAATTCAACAAACAAATCCTTTAGGAAAAAGTGAGTATTTCCTGCAACTTAACAACTTTTTCTAAAAACCTTATCCAGACTATTTATTACAAGCAATTAAAGAAAATGTCAAATCGGACTAGCCTTTCTGACACATCCATTTTAAACACTTTAAAATAATAATGAACGCTCAATCTCATTCGTGTCTTCCTCACAAAACGTGACACTGGCAGAATGGACTGCGTCTGTTAACGTAACTATAAGCCATATTAAAAAAAATAATAATAATAATAATGAAGTTAGTTTAATATCTACCTACTTCCAGAAAAAATATTATTAATGCACAGTAGTACTTAGATTAGTTTTTATATAAAAAGTTATTTAATAAATAGCAGACCTATTTAAAAAAATCTATTCTATTGGATGTGAATTGGTATTTCATGCAAAAAAAAACCCTTCCCAATCGCCGATCGCTCCCGAAGGCGCACGAAAACTCACGAATTTCGGTAAACCGAACCTAAATCGAAGTTTGAACAGTGAACCGAAATGTGTGTATGTATCAATTTATGCGTATGTATTTATGTATTTTTACTGAAACTACTATGTATTGTAACCCTAGCAATAATATTTTTTAGGTTAAAAAAATATTTTGTAACTTTGCTTTGCAAGAGTTATGAGGCGTTTTTATTTTTTACTTTTACATATTTATTTTATGCGTGTGTACTGTGTACATACCTGCGGGCGCTCAGGAGGCGCGGCGGCCGGTGAGTGAGCCCACGAACGACTTCAGCGCCTGCCCGATGGAGGCGCGCCCGTCCGCGCCCGCGCCCACTCCCACGCCCACGCCCGCGCCGACGCCCACGCCGCCGCCCACGCCCACGCCCACGCCCGCGCCGCCGTGCGCGTCCAGGCACTTCTGATAGCGTAGCTGTGGGGAGGGGATGTGGCATGATATAAGTTTGCGTTTAATGTGTACTTTGTATGTTCTATTTGGTGTAAGTGAAATTTAGTATAGAATTTCTATCTATAACATAGCACTTATTTATTCTAAGGACAGTTTAAGCGTAAATGGAAATGTCTGAATACAAGTGTGAATGTATTGTGTAAATACAAATTTGCAAAGTTTTATATGTGTTAAAAATGTGTGTGCGTGCGTGCGTGTGTGCGTGTGTGTCTGTGTGTGTGCATGTATATGTGTGCGCATGTTGTGTGTGTCTTACCTTGCAGGCGGCCTCGACGGTCTTGCAGAGCGCGCCGGAGCTGGGCTCGGCGTGGAAGGCGTGCGCCACGAAGGCGTCGTGCGGCGTGTGCACGATGAAGGCGCAGCGCCGCACGTCGCGCCCGATGCCCAGGAACGACAGGTAGCGCACGCGGCACTCCACCAGCGGCGTGCTCTCCTGGCGGCCGACAATTATGACGACACGTGTTTAATACAACTATCTTTTCTTGTTTTATTTATTTTACAAATCCGCGAAATAATCCGAAATGATAGTTTTATTTAAAATAAATACTACATAATATTATAAAGAAGTAAAGTTTGTGAGTTGTAAGGTTGTAATCTCTGGATTTACCAAACCGATTTAGGTGAAATTTGGTAAGAAGATATTTTGAGACCCTGGAAAGGACATAGAACTTTTTATCCCGGAAATCATTCCTTAAGGGGGTGAAAATTGGGATGAAAGTTTGTATTGAGAAGTAAGCTAGGGACGAACCCGAGCGAAGCGTGGGTTAGTCGCTAGTTTATTTTATAAAATCCGAAATGATAGTTTTATTTTAAACGTCAAATATTCACGTAAATCTAAAAAGTATTAAAAATTACAAAACTTTCTTCTTTAATTCTACACCAAAGAAAAAAGTATTTTCCTCCTTAGTGTACCTATATGCAATCAATCTTCAACTATTAGCAGATTTGTTAAAAAAAATTGACGTCACCGAGATGATTCTTCCGCAAAGAGATCCCCTGTATATAGTAAAGCAAATAAAACTTTCTTTGTATGTCATCCCACTTTAGACGTTTGCGATAACTCATATCGGGAGTTTTGTTCCAAATTTATTTGGGTAATCCTTAAGTGATCATAGAAACGATAATATTGATATGATAAAGATGATGACTACTTAGAGAAACAATATTAATGATATGATAGATACGATAATTATTTCGAGACACAATGATAACGATTTGATAAAAATGAGAACTACATAGAAAAACAACGATCACGATATAATAAAGATGATAATTGGAGATAAAACGACGAGGATACGATAGAGCCACAGAAGTAGTGCGTGTACTGACCCCCTCCTCCGTGATGGTGATCATGGAGGGCGCGACGGCGACGGCGACGGCGCGCCAGGCGGAGGGCGCGCGCGCGGCCGCCAGGCGCTCCAGCGCGTCGTTGAGCACGTCCATGCCGGTGGCGCGCGCCACCACGGCGCTGCCCAGGTAGCGCGCGCGCACCGTCTTGCGCGGCTCCTCCATCGGCGTGGGGAACGACGCGCCTGACACACCGCACGTATATATAGCATTCCACTACCGATATACAGACGATCGCTTCGTCTGTGTGTCTGTACTATAATATGCATGTATTATATATTGTATAATCTTTCTCTTAAATCACTCCTCACTCCTTAATCCGTTGGGTAGTTTAAAAGATCTAAGCGAACAGACAGCGGATACTTCATTTTATACTATGTAAAAATACGAAAGTTTGTTTGTGTGTGTGTTTGTTACTTTTTCATGCTAAAACGAACGGATTTGAATGAAATTTAATACAAAAATTAACCATGACGTTAAATAACAATATGCTAATGTTAGGCACCCAAGCGAAATGAAGATAAGTCTTATATCGTAATTGAAACAGATAGAAGCGGGTTCAACCAGGACAGCATGTTTGAGAAAAGTTAACTAGTTTACGAAAGGCATCTTAATATGAGCGCTTCGACAGCGTTATGGATTATATTTTTTTGACGATTGTTATTATTTTTTCTATTGATAAATATTTACAATGTCAGAGATGATGATGAAATTAATATGTCACATATTTTTGAAAAATTCTCATATAAAAGAAAGTTTCTAATACGCTAAAAATGAGAAATTTCTGATTGCACCGAAGTATTAGTAATATGAAAGTTTTCAATTCAAAATTCATTTTTTTTATTTGTGTGGACAATAACACGCAGCACCACCTAGTTCCATGGTAAGCTAACGAGTTTGTGTTATGGATACCAGATAGTTGATACACTATACATATATAACTTTAAATACATACATACTATAAATATAAACACCCATGACTAGAGTACAAACATTCGTGCTCATCATACAAATGAATGCCTCCAGCGGGACTCAACCCACGACCGCTGGCACAGCAAGTAGAATCACTACAAACTGAGCCAAACGTGTCGTCAAGTAATTTTGCTAACATTGTGTTACATACTTCAAAACCCCAAGAACTAATCCACTTACCAGACAAAGGCCTAGGCCGCCTGGCCGCGGGCAGGTCGGTGGGGCGCGGCGGAGGCTGCAGGGACCGCTCTATCATGATCCTCTTGCATATGTCCCGCAGCGCGTTGGCGATGGAGCGCGCGGGCGCCTCGCAGCGGAACACGTGACACATGTGCTTACGCGTCACTCGATCCCGGGCTACGTATGCGAAATCCCTGGATAAACAACCATTTGGTTGGATAAATCGAATAAATTAGATAATCTATATGTACCTATATAATAATCGTTGTGTATGTATGTTCCCATGGACTCTATAACGGCTTGAGCGATTTGATGAAATTTTCAGGCAATATTCAGATTTGCCTGCGGGTAATCCTGTGGTTTAGTAGCAACCGGAAGTTTGAACGCGGATAAATCCGCGGACACTACTAGTTTATCATAAGTAAGTGGATTTTTGACCGATCTCAAAAGCAGGAGGTGGGTGTAAATGGAATTCTAGTGTACGTTACCGTGTCGTAATTGTCAATCGATGTTTCATAATTCTTTCGAAATACATTTCCAATGGAAAAAAGAAACTTACTCTCAAGGGTACATAAATACATTAAAAAATATATTGAAGTCAGTGTTTAAACCCTATTGTTAAAATGTATTTACATGTTATTGCAATAATAACAACGTATTTTTACAGTTTTTGCAATATTGTTGACTACGTGAGAATTGAGATTAATAGTGAAATTCAATTAAATGAAATTACAGCCCAAGCCTTAGTTTTACACGTAGATATTAAATAAAAACACGCATTTTATACTTAAATGTAGGAAAAATGTGCCTGGTAATTGTAGTGTAACGAATAACGTTGCGCACTATTTGATTTGACTCTTTTAGTTCTAACTCATAGGAAGACGCAAAAAAAACAGAGAAAAAGGTAATAATAATATTCTCTGTACTATCAACTATGTATTATTTCTTAGATCCCTAAAGTTTTGAAGCAAAGTACAAATATAGTTATAAATATTCACTTTTAATATAGGATGTACCTATGTTTACTATTGTATAGTCCTTTTTGTGCACCGTCTATTTTATACTTTCTTAGATACACGCGAATATTTTACATTTTAAATAAAACAATTTTTTCGGGCATTTATTTTAATTTTAGTTTCTCTGGTTGGTAATCCAATTAAAAATAAACCCTAAGCCCAAGGAACCAAAAAACAAAATAAACATCTTTATTTTGATTCCCCGGTTGGGAACCAAAAAAATCAAAATAAATGTGCGAAAAAACCGAAAAAACAATTTTATTTAAAACACCGTCTTGCCAATTTTACTTAACGTTATGTTATACTGAACTTTTAAGTAACTTCAAATGGAAAAAACACAATTAATTATTAACTACATATCTACTGTGATGGCTAAGTTGAAAAATATATTTCATACCTTTCGCTACTCCGAGAATGCATAATGAAAAATACTTATATTAGTTAAGTATTATTGAGTTCAAACTACAAAGGGTTGTATATAAGGGGGTGTATTGTATTTGAGGAGGTGTACTTAGCGTGTGATGTTTATATATGCAAATGCAAAACACTTAATAAAAACATATTATAAGATTATTGAAGTTATACTTCTTTTGGCAGGTTTGGAAAAAATCGTAATTTTACGATACGCGCACACACCGACAGCCAAAAAGCGACATGATGAAGTTAGCTGAAAGCGGCATGATGATATAGCTGTTCTGTTCTGTTACGCCAAAGAAGTATGACTTTTACGTACATACATAAGTACACACACACGTTTTTTTTTATTACTACAACGAGCTAGAGCAAGAAGGTACAAAAAATAAAGAATAATGCTAAATAATTTAAATTACTATGTTACTTATACAGTTTATTTCCTGGATTAAAAACTAAGGAAGCTTCATTTTTTATTGGTTGGATTAGTCCAAAATAGCTTGAACTCCATAGTACTAACCGGCCTTAGTAAGCGAGGGTCAAGTACTGGCCACTAACATCTTAAATGAATAAAACGTGAAAAACAAACATTATAACTAAAATTTAAATTCAAAATTTATTATTTAGCATTAAATCATAACAAGTTTTTACTGTACTTTGTGAGTCAAGCACTAATTCGGAAAGAAAAAAGCCAGGACCGACATTTTTACTGTCGACAGAAACTCAGTTAAACTTAAATACCATATCCATAACATTCACAAATCAAAGTAATATTTATAAAAACAACGCGCTGTTTAATTTCAACACATCATATGCCCAGCTATTATTATAAATGCAAAATTACCATAAATAATTGTGAAGGAGAAGTTCTCTGTATCCTGAGTTTTGATAATTCCCATGGAATAATGGGATAGTAATAGTCTTCATAAGTTTTTAAAATTTATATTAAAAAGAGAGTGAAAGAGAGGATAAAAAAACACTATTGCCAATATAACCAGTGTAGGTTAATTTGTCCTTTTGTCTCACAGTGAGCTAAAAGCCTCCATCTAATATGGAAGTCTATGAACACGAACTTTACCTTAGTCCTTTAACAATTTCATATGGATTACAAAATAGGGAATTTAAACAATGCAAAAGTTAAAGAAAACGTAAATTAAGGAGTTACTAGTTCGAGGACAGTTTGATATAAAAAACGAATAACATTTATTTTATAGAACACAGTAATTTTATTCCTTGCATAGCGAAAATAGCAAAAATCATATTATACTCGTACATACATATATATACTAAAAATTAACTCACCGTCCGTTGTCTCGGCCGACACCCCAAACACGTATAGTATGTATCGGCTGTGTGTGCAAAGTGTTTAGACTTTCTGGATCGATTAGTTTTAACGCCCCATCATCTAGATCCATAAATAGATCTTTTCCCTGGAAGATTTACATTAGTATTTAAATACATCAAAAGACTAAGAAAATCTATATTATACCTACATCAGTTCCATAAAGAAAACATACAATTTTTTTTAAATAAAACTATCTTTTCGGATTTATTCGCGGATTAATTTGGATTTTTGGTTCCCGATGTTTCGAATGCTTTACAGCATCCATGGTCACGGGAGAGACTGAGGTATTACATGTCTTGAAGGTATAGTTGTTACAGACAGCCTACCCACAATTAACAAAATGAAAATTGCCAAAATTACCTTACAATATTTTTTAATTTTAAATAAAACTATCTTTTCGGATTTTGTCGCGGATTTATTTGCATTTTTGTTTCCCGACGTTTCGAATGCTTTACAGCATTCATGGTCACGGGAGAGATTATTTTTTAACTTTAAAACATTTTATAATTTAAAACATTTCATAATTTATTTACCTTCAAGACATGTAACACCTCAGTCTCTCCCGTGACCAGGGATGCTGTAAAGCATTCGAAACGTCGGGAACCAAAAATCAAAATAAATCCGCGAAATAATATTTCGAAAAGATAGTTTTATTTAAAATGTCAAATATTCGCGTAAATCTAAGAAAGTATTACATACAAAAAATATTGAACTAAAAAGTTATTGACATGATTAGACTTTTGTTGGCTCGTGTATATTGAACTTAGGTCATTTCTTATATGTCAAGATTTCTAAGAATATCCTCCTGTATCGATCACCTAACTCTGTCCAATAGATTTAAGTTGACTTTCTCCATTCAATAGATTTAGAAGACTAATAATCACTAGTACTTTCTTTTCAAATCCGAACTACAGAACCTTAAAAGATTGAGATGTGTGTATTTAGCCCTTTTTAACGTCCCACGGCTGGGCGTAGGCCTCCCTTCAACACGAAAGGAATCAGGCCATATTCCACAACGCCGGCCTCTCAGACATCTATCGCAGATAACTCTCAGACATGCAGGTTTCTTCACGATGTTTTCCTTAACCGTAAGTCAAGTGGTAATCATAAGATTAAAAACAAAACTAAAACAATACTCACATCACCCCAACGCCCAACTTGGTCTAATAAATCATTGCGACCAAGGCTCAAGTCCACGATACACTTGTTGACTGCGCGGCTCGAACGTTCCGGGGTTAGGTCGGTTTCAGAAATCTCCACCCATCCTAGGGAACGGACGAAGAAACGAACTGCTCTGCCATCTTGTTCTGGACGAGCTGGGTAACTGCGACGTCTGCGGGGAGTGAGTAAATCTCTTAGTAACATGTTAGATAAATAATTGTCTATGTGCTTAGTAGGTTTTGTAATACAGATATTTGGAATTAAGTCATTATTGTAACTCATATATGAATTAATCCCTCCACGACCGCGGACACGCCGGTGTGTCAGTTAACAATAGATTTCTTATTATATTTATATTTTAATTAATTTCTTAGAAATTTACCTGGAGGTGTGTAATGGGTTTAAAATGTATATAAATGTAGGATGACTTCCGAAATAAGATTTGACTTCAAATCTAAAATTATTTTAAATGGATCACAAAAAACTTTATATTAGGTATACATTGTGTAAAGCAATAACAGATAATTTAATAACAAATCATATTTAAAGTTCACAAGTTATTTACTCACTTATAAGCAACTTCTTCTCTTCGTTTCCTCTCAGCCTCTTGATGATCTTGGTCTAAAGCCCCACTGGTAGTACTTCTGGTGACGGATGACGTCATACCCCCCTCATATTTGACATCTGACAAGTTCGAACAGTCCCTTACCATGGATATACGAGATTCTCTCGCTTCAATGGGTGGCATTTTGGGGATTTCCCGTTGAATAGTGCCGCTTTTTATGTGCCAGTAGTAGGGGCCATCGTTGTCTGTAAAAATGGAATAATCGTTATATGTAAAGCCAGCTTGTTGAACCAGATCTGGGTATTTTAAAAGCTGGCTTTGAAAAATCATTAAGTTCATTTTTCTCATTTTCATTTTATTATAACAACAATGAAATATTAAAAATAAGCATATATAAAATATACACAAAGAATTTTTTGTTCAATACAAGCTCAGTTTTTTTCGCATCGCTGAGTATATTTGGTATTGTTAAAGTTTTGACCTGATATTTTTAATTCATAAAAAGAAAAAAAAGACTTAACAGTGGGTATTTAAATGAGATATTATTTCCGCCTTCTGATTGTTTTATATAAGCTTATAGAAATATTATATTTAATAAATGACTTAGTAGTAGTAGCTTTCAGCCCTTTTTAACATCCCACAGCTGGGCGTGGACCTTCCTTTAATACTAGGGGGATCAGGCTAAAAGCAAATGCCCTTCGAAAACTTACTAGGTTTTCTCAGACATACAGGTTTCTTCACGATGTTTTCATTCACCGAAAGACAAGTGGTAATCATTTTGGAAACGATTCGGACATGAGGTGCGTGACCCGGGATTTGAACCCTTGCTTCTCTCGGTTTCCCAAGCGAACTCTTTACATTCGACAAGAAGTACTTCTTTCTTGTACAGCTATTATAATGGTAAATATAAAAAAAAAACAATTATAGTGTCGAATATAGCAAGAATTATACATATTTAGTGAAATAAAAAACCACCTTCATGTTTCTCCCAACCCGGAGGCAACGTTTCCTTCTTCGGGCGCAATTTGACGGGAATGGCATAGAGGTCATCGTTGGGTCCCTCTGCGCAGTGCGGCACGGGACCGGAGTGACTTTTCTCCGTATCCTCCTGGTCAGCCCTCTCTTTTTCTGGAGGGGGTGAATCCCCCCCACCATTCTGTTGGGGCGGCGTGATGAGGCCGCTTTTTTCGCTATAAAATAAGAAAAAAATAGCTATAAATCGATTAAGTAGTTTAATATTAAGATAGTTATGTAAACAAAGTATATATTAATACGGTTTATCAAAATTTTAACAAGGTTTTTGGATAAAAACTTAATAATGTGATTATTATAATGTAAAACAATAGACACGTTTCTATATAACACAAAAATAATACTCACTTTGCTTTGTTTACAGGTGAAGACGCCTCGTCTTCGACTCTGCAAATAAAGAAACAAAATTTCATAAATATTAATGTGTATTATACCTTCAAAGGATCTTAGAATATTCCTTTGTATGGAGTATTAAAATCAAGCGAGCCGAGTGTCGAAGTCAGACAGGTGCTACGAAATGCGAAGAGTAATAAAGACTGTCTGAATGTGATCACGAGTAACTGAACACTAACGTAAAACGTTAGCCATATGGCTTCATCGTTACCTACACGAAAAAATATATCGTTGGTAATATTATAGTAAACGACGCGTTTGACTCAGTTTATAGTGGCCCTACTTGCTGTGCCAGCGCTCTCGGGTTCGAGTGCCGCTGGGGGGCCTCCATTTGTGTGATGAGCACGAATGCTTTCACTCCAGTCATGGCTGTTTATATTTATAATATGTATGCATTAAAAAAGTTATACATATATGTGGAGTGTAAACTATCTGGTATACATAAACACGTATAGATAGCTTTAAAATGAAGTAGATTATTTTGGTTAATGCAAATATTTATTATTTAAATGCAACAAACACTCACACCAAATTATAGATTCGGCCTATTATCGATAATAATGTTAATTTCAAAGATTTTCCAAATGTACAGATTCGAAGCCATAGTTACACATTTTATCTTGTATAACGTGATTGATCCCATACAAACTTTCATCCCCATTTTCAGCTCAAAGGGATGATTTCCGGATAGAACAAATTATCCCTATGTCCTTCCCAGGGCTCACTTTACAACCAAATTTCATCTAATCGGTGTTCAGTAATCCAGAGATTACCCCCTACAACCTCACAAATTTCACAAACTTTACTCTTTATAATCTTCTTATATATAAAAATTGAACATGTCACAATGTTTGTTTACTGTACTCCGTACGTGGCTTTAACCGATTTTATAGGATGCTAGATAGTTATGACAGAATTAGGTTACTACTTTTTTCATACTCCTAAGTGATTAATACTAGGTGGTCTCCCTCGCTCCACCCCAGGGTTCGAAACCCGAGCGGTTGCGAGGGTGAGTCGTTTAGTATTAGATTTATATAGAAATTAGATGATAATTTTTTTGCAGTAAAAATGTGTATCCTATATGGCGGCACCTGGATAACGAGCGTTACGTTCACTTCAGAGTGATATGTAAAGGTTGCTCTGATTGCAGTGTCTATAATCTTGACCGGTGGATTTTCCGCTTCTGAAATTTTTAGAATTCCCAAACAGACCCTGGACTGTAGTACGTAAAATATCTATACATATAATAAAATTGTAACTAAGTCCAATCTGTACATTAAATATTTTTTGGAAAATCTTATTGCAATGACCATTATTAATTATTATTTATTACCGATACAGAGGGCGAATCGGCTCAGAATTTTTGTCTGTATTGGTTACCCGCATCACAGAAAAACCAAGGGATTTTGATGAAATGGTTTGATAAGCTGATTATCCGGGTTTCAACATTTTTAGGATACTTTTTTCAAATAGCCTCTCATTTTTTGAGAAAAAATACAAAAATTGCAATGTAAGAGTATACTCATATGTAAAACCTAAGAATTTAGTTTTTGGTCATCAATAATAAACTTAGAAGTAGGTTAAATTCATCATTAGCTATTTTTCCACCCTTAGGGGAGTTTTTTTTTTAATTTAAACGGGACCAATCTGGAAGTAAAAACTTTTTAACAAACAAAATAAAAACCGACTTCAAAACGGTATAAAGCGGAGTTCTGAGGTAACAAACGGAAAAAAAATACAGCCGAATTGAAAACCTCCTTCTTTTTAAGGAACACAACTTTTTGATAGCAAGGATCAAACGAATGCAAATATTTCGTAATTGCCTCGGTGCGTCCTTAAATAAAAGAAAACGTATAGATATTAAAATGAAAATTATAGGTAGGCAAATAACAAGTTAGCAAATTGCACACCGACTTCACAAATATTTAGTAGGTATAATATATTCAAAGTTTAAACGGAAAAGGCAGACAATCATTATTTGTCTTACTTTCAGTGCTTGGTTTGTAGAACAAATTAGCGTCGACACTTTACAACCAATCTCGGTGTTAATAGGTACAATTTGAATTTTACGGCTGTACCGTTGACAAAAAAGTTGAACATGTACCGTAATTAACCGTACGTGGTTCGATTTTATAGGATGCTAGATAGTTATGACAGAATTAGCATTATACTTGTATATATAATACTAGCGACTCACACTCGCTCCACTCGGGTTCGACCCTAGTTGCGTTTAACGTTTAGTTTAGATTTCTTAGAAATGAGATATTTTCCCGCAGTAAAAAGTAAACCTGTTAACCTGTGTGACTTGGATAACCAGCTATCATCATACCAAATTTAGAAATACTTGCAAAGTTTTTCTAAGTATTCCCAAAACAGACAATTAGAAGTAGGTATAAATTCGGCTTCTGTATCGATAATAATGACTATTTCAATAAGATGGTATATTTTTTTCGGCTCAGAATTTAAAATGTATTTGTGAAGAACTAAAAGGGTTATATTTCAAAAGTAGAATAAAAATTTTTGAGTTCCAAATGCCTCTCCATTACTGAATTATCGGCAGTTCTGAGGTAACAACATAAAAAAGGTGAGCCTGAACACTCTAAAAAAAAAAAAAAACTCTTTACCCCGTCCATTGTCGGATATTTCAAGGCCAGGACATCTTCATTTATTCATCGTTTAATCATAAAACATTTAGATAAACCGTCGCTCATCTATACATATAATAAAATTGTAACTAAGTCGACTTTGTATATTAAATATTTTTTGGAAAATCTTATTGAAATAGACATTATTATCGACACAGGCCGAGTCTATAGTTTTTAGAATTTTTGTCTGTCTGTCTGTCTGTCACCGCATCACAGAAAAACCACTGTAGGGATTTCGAGGTATGGTGATAGCTGGTTAGCCGGGTCAACATATAGGATACTTTTTACCGCGGGTAAATACCGCATTTCTGAGAAAAAATACCAAAACTGCAATGTAAGAGTATACTAATATGTGAAACCTAAGAAATTGGTTTTTGGTCATCTGAACGCGGGCGGAGCCGCGGGCAATGCTAGTGTAATATATAATGTGTAATTAATTTATTTCAGTAAAATAACATACAAATTCCATTCAGATATATACGAGTTTTGTAGTCGCAGTAGCAGTCGATTTTTATTTCTATCATTACAATAAAAATGTTGAGCGTATTGTAAATAAATATTATATTAAATTATCTAAAACGCCTACGTCTGTACAAAACCATAAAAACGTAGACTAAACTATTTTACGACACACTGCTTTCATGCAAACTATAACAAACGTAACTATTACTTGTATATTTTATTAGAATTTCTCTGTGCTTAATTAAGCGTGGTTTGATTTAAAACGGTAAGATTTATGTTTTTTTGTTTATTACCAACTAGCATTGTCGCGGCTCTGCCCGCATTCAGATGACCAAAAACCAAATTCTTAGGTTTTACATATTAGTATACTCTTACAATGAAGTTTTTGTATTTTTTCTCAGAAATGAGATATTTTCCCACGGTAAAAAGTATCCTATATGTTGACCCGAATGACCAGCTATCATCATACCAAATTTCATTAAAATCTGTCTAGTGGTTTTCTCGTGATGCGGTAACAGACAGATAAACAAAAATTCTAAAAACTATAAATTCGGACTCTGTATCGATAATAATGTCTATATCAATTAGATTTTCCAAAAAATATTTAATGTACAGATTTGACTCAGTTACAGTTTTATTATATGTATAGATTACTTAAATAGTTCAAGTAACACTAATATAATTTTGGATTTCTCGCCGGTTGTTCTCAGCAGAACTGCTTTCCGAGCCGGCGGTAACTTCCTAACGAACCGACGACCCTGACGCTCTTTAAATTAAATTGACGATTCAAAAGTGCTTCTAATAAGTCTATTTTAATTTAAAAAACAAATAACTTCCGTTAGGATACCGTTTTGATAATGATAAGTTATTTGTGAGGACGGTTTATTTTTCAATTTCTCCGCGTTTACGGTCAAGATTGTGCCTTTTGTCGTCTTCAAAGTTTACCGTCGGTCAAGATCGCGCCTCCTGATATTTTCAAAAGCCCAGACCCTCTACTGAAGTGCTCTTCTCTACTGCTTGCGTCTTTTTGCTAACGCTCCCCTACTAGAAGCCTCTATTTTGCATTTTTTCAGGTGTCTTTTCTGAATATCAAGTAAGGCTACTATGTTCTTAATCACATGTTACCGTGTTATTTTTCTTAAATATTGTAAGTTAACTAATACAATAGCATACTTTGAACAAAAATCGAAATATATGACGATAAATCAATAAATTAACGCATCCGTTAAATATCGGCTCGCGACGTTGTATATACATATAATAAAATTCTGAGTCGAAACTGTATATTAAACATTTGTTGAAAAATCTTATTGAAGTAGTCATTATTATCGATACATACGGAGACCGAATCTATAGTTTTTAGAATTTTTGACTGTCTATCTGAAACACATCACAAGAAAACCACTGGACAAATTTTGATGAAATTTGGTATGATGATAGCTGGTTATTTGGGTCAACATATAGGATACTTTTTACTGCGGGAAAATATTTATCTCTGAAAAATCTATGCTAAACGTTAAAATGTAACTAAGGACGAATCCGAGCAGAGCGTGGGCGAGTCGCTAGTGATTTGCAATAAAAATCTATTTATGACAAATTATTGCTATTTATATGAGCTGATCTAACAAAGTATACGGTAAAATACTGATGAAAGCTTTATGCCGATATTATATAATCGACTTACCCAAATTATTTCCTAACATCCATATCCATACTAATATTATATATAAATGTGAAAGTGTGTTTGTTTGTTTGTTTGTTTGTTTTTTTGTTTGTTCGTTTGTCTTTCTTTCACGTCGAAACGGCTTGGCGTGATTTTTTGTGTAGAGATGGAGGACTGGATAGTGACATAGAGTACTTTTTACCGCGGGAGATTATCTCTTTCCC